TCTGTGCCCCATAGCTCTGCGCCCCATAGCAAAGCCCCATAGCTCTGTGCCCCATAGCTCTGTGCCCCATAGCACAGCCCCATAGCACAGCCCCACAGCTCTGTGCCCCACAGCTCTGTGCCCCATAGCTCTGTGCCCCATAGCACAGCCCCATAGCACAGCCCCGCAGCTCTGTGCCCCGCATGTGTTGGTGTTGGTGCTGCAGCTGCACTGGTGCTGCTGGGGCTGATGTCATCCCCCCCCCCACGTCACTGCAATGGCCTCCATCCCGGCACGCCCCATAGTGCCCCATAGCCGCCCCATAGATACCCCATAGCGCCCCATAGCCACCAAATACCCACCCCCATCTCATAGCCACCCCCCTCATAGCCCTCGCTGCCCCACAACCACCCCCACCCCACAGCCACCTCACCCCACAGCCAACCCCACCCTATGACCACCCCACCCCACAGCCATCCCATAGCCCCCTCCACCCCACCACCACCCCCACCCTACGGTCCCCCCGGCCCGCATCCCCCCCGCCCATAACCACCCCACCCATAACCACCCCACCCCAATCCCAATCCCCACCGCATCCCATTAACCCCATCGTTCCCGTTCACCCCAACGTCCCCATATCCCATAATATCCCCACATCCTTATGGCCCCAATGTCTCCATATCCCCCAGTGTCCCCAGTGCCCCCAACGTCCCCACATCCCATAATATCCCCACGCTATAACTGCCCTCCAAGGGGCATTTACACAAAGCGCAGCGCAACAGCGCCGCCGCGCGGTGACGGCGGGTATTGCAGGCGCGTGTGCAACGAGCCGCGACTCCCGGTCCATCCCAGTCCTCCCAGTCCTCGCAGTCCTCCCAGTCCATCCCAGTCTTCCCAGTCCATCCCAGTATTCCCAGTCCTCCCAGTCCATCCCAGTCCATCCCAGTCTTCCCAGTCCATCCCAGTCCATCCCAGTTCTCCCAGTCCCCCCCCATTCCCTCCCCGAAGTTCTCCCAGTTTCCTCCCAGTGCATCCCAGTCCT